GACTCTTATCAGTATCTTCACAAATTTCAACTCTTTGATCTGACTATAAGATTAATCTAAAATATGGAACGAGTGGAATGTAGGGATTAAACGAAACCCTTTCTTTTCAACTTATTCAAGCCCTCTACTACCAACTAAACTACCTTTATTTGATTGCGGGGAAGCCCTGAGTTAATTATATGATTGTGGAATATGGAAAGGTCCTGACCACTCACTTACGTGCCGATAGTTTGTTTCGAGCCAATAGACGTGGCAAACATATATTTAGACACGATTCATAGTTGATCGAATATCACAAGTAAACTTGTTTAATCCTTCCACATATGAAAGATAGATGCAATGGAAGGCCAACGAGCAGAAATTTAGTAATATAAATGTGTGCACTATTCCAAAACGTAATAATCATATAATGTGTTTCTTAATCAGTGTTACTGCAGGAACAAAATTATCTCTGTATTCTTGTTGAATTTAAGTCGTTAAATAATTCCTGTAGCTAAAAGTAGGGGTGTGTGTTATCAAAAAAAAAGAAAAAGAAAGTAGGGGTGTGCATGAGTAAAAATTGAATTGAATTTTTTTGAAGAATCAAACCGAATTGCTTTAAATGGTTCGGTTCAAAATCGGTTCGGTTCAGTTCGGTTCGGATAAAAAACGGTTCTGTTCTTGATTAGTTTTAAAAATCAGTTCCGTTCTTTAAAAACAAATTCAATCGATGAACCAATTTTTAAAAATTAGTTATTTTAAGTGCGGTTCAATTCGGTTCAGTTTTCTGGTTCTTTTGCATATTCCTAGCTAAAAGGATACTAAGATGTCCGAATTAACAAACTAGACTTTTGTTTCAAGGAATAGGTTATATTTATAAACTTTTATAAACTATACTATACACTACGAGTAGTACATACTCAAGTAGTAATATATATTACCCGTAGTGCATAGTATAATTTATAAAAAAATGGTAAACAAAAGATTTATAAATATAACATGCTTTTCTTTCAATAAGTATAAAATGACTTTTGGTTTATAATGTTTAATTTTTTAAAAAAATAACTTATTGTATTATTATTTTAAAAAATATATTGACATTTCTTTCTATGTTTAGAAAAAATAAATTATATTATCTAATGATAAAGAAGTTATTTCAAATTTTGATTGATTTCCAACCAAATATTTTTTATGATACGAGGAAAAAGTAATTATTAAAGTTACAAATGTTATTAAGGGTGTGCATGGCAACCATTCTGTTCCCTAGCACTGTTTCTGAAAAAAAAAAAAATTTTTTCTATTTCTGTGCCTTGGAATAATTTTTTAGAAAAAAATGTGTTTGATAACATGTATTATTTTTACTCCGAGAATGAGAATTGCGTTCGATAACACAACAAATGATAGAATAAAAAATTATTCCTATTAAACATAATTTTTTTTTTATCATCACTTTCCTTTTTCATATGGTATGTTAGGGGTGGAGGCGGCGGCGGCGACGACGACGGTGGTTGTAGTAGTGGCGTTGTGATGGTGGTAGCGGTGACATCATGGTGGTGGTGGTGGTAATGGTGGTGGCAATGGTGGTGGTAGTGGTGTGGTGGTGGTGGCAGTAGTAGCTACGACGATGGTGGTGGTGAGGATAGTGACGGTGGTGGTGACAGCAGTGGCCACAACGATGGTGGTGACAGCAGTGGCCGCAACGATGGTGGTGATAATGGTGGCATGGTGGTGATGGCATGGTGGCAGTGACGGTGGTAGTGGTGGTGGTGGTGGTGATGGTGGCATGATAATAGTTGTGGTGGCAGCGGTAGTGGTGGTAATTGTGACATAGTGGCGGCGGCGGTAGTGGTGGTAATGGTGACATAGTGGCGACGACGGTAGTGGTGGTGGTGACAACAGTGGCGACGACGGTAGTGGTGGTGGTGACAACAGTGGCGACGACGGTAGTGGTGGTGGTGACAACAGTGGCTGCGACGATGATGATGATGATGACATGGTGGTGGCGGCGACAGCGGCAACAACAATTGTGGTGGTGGTGACGGCAGTGTTTACGACGATGGTGATGGAGATGACATAGTGGTAGTGGTGGCGGCGGCGGTAGTAGTGGTGGCATGGTGGTGGTGGTGATGGCAGTGGCTACGATGGTGGTGGTGGTGGTGGTTGGTGACGATGGTAGTGATAATGGTGGTGACGGTGATGGTAGTGGTATTGGTGGTTGGTGACGGTGGTAGTGATAATGGTGGTGGTGATAATGACGGTGGTGGTGGTGGTGGTGGTACGACGATGGTAGTGGTGGTCGTGTCGGGACGATGGTGGCGGAGGTGATGATGGTAGTGGTAGAGAATAATTGAGAAAGATAAGTGTTTCTCATTTTGTGTCCAGGAACAAAAAAGCAGAATTTTTTTTATTCTTTTTTCTGTTCTCCAGCACAAAAAATAAACCGGTTCATCCTGGGAACAAAAAAATAAATCGATTTTACCAAACAAGTTTTCTATCCATTTCTGTTCCCTGAAGACGAAATTAAAATAAAAATTGATTCTGAAAAGGTTGTTATGACTCATTCACACCCTAAGACTAATAGAAATGGCTGATTATTACAAATATTTTTTATGGGCTAACTTTAGGATTTATAGTCTATTATTATTACAAAAATATCATTTTATAATGAGTTTAATGTTTTTGTAGTCATTGAAGATAAAGTTATAGTTATCTCTAGTTATCCCAAAACGATATCGTTTTGGGGTTATGGGAAAAATTATAATTCTAAAGACTATAATAAATTAGAATTAAAAAAAAAATTCTTACAACTTCAAAATAATATCATTTTGAAATCATTGAAAATAATCTATCTCCGGTGAGTAGAGAAACATTAAAACATTTATATTAAAAAATTATAATATTAAAAAATCAAAATTTAGTGAGGGGTTGACAGCTGAAATACGTCCTTCCTTGGGTTCGCCGTTGAACCAGATTAATGGAGTAATTGGCGAACTAATAAAGAAAAAGTATATATTTTATTAATCTTTATAAAATAATAATAACAGAAAATTTTATGGGATTGGTAATTATTAAGTTAGAAAAAGATTTATATGGTTTGTTAAGTGAAATAAAAATATTTATTTTCTCAATTATTAATTTTTTATTACTAAAATAGTCATTATCATTTATGTTGTTTGAGAAAATATAAAATTTTTATCGAATAAAAATGTATAAAGTGTTATAACCTATACATCAACATAAAGGAACGTTTACCTGTACTTATGTCGATTAGCATAATATTTAATGATACTTTGATCTGGTCATGTGTTAACGCCTGATATTTTGCAAAATCAACCCCCACTAATGCACAAAAATTCCACTATATTGGCCATTTGCTGTATAATCGCAAAATTAGAGGGAAAGCAAGATACGATGATGTCTAGTGTTTGACAAACATGACAACAAATTTTTATTTTAATTTAAACAAACATTCGTGATGTTATAATGATAAACGATTCAATACATGGTTAATTGGGTTAAAAATTTATTAAAAGCCCCCTTTTTGCTTTCATTTGTTCTTTATCTGAAAGTGTGCACCCTATCCAATTGAATCATTGCACCTACAACCTGTTAAATTGGGGTTATTTTATCCTTCATCATCAGTTATAGGTTCTTTCGCATATACTATGTTGAAATTTGTCTGGATAGCATAGCAACGGTTGGATTGAAGAGGAGGAATCAACATCCTTTCTGAAATATTGGAGGTCTCTTTTCACAATAATTAGAGTACATATCATTTTCGGTTCTTTAGCAAATTTTATAATACCTGTTTTAGTCCGTCCCTAGCAAATAAAAAGGTTATTCGTGATCCTTAAAAAATTTAAAATGGACCAATTTTAGTCCTTTTGAAGGACTAATGTGAATCTTTTTTGAATTTGCGAGAGACCACGATTTCAACTAAATGGTTCTATTTTGAATTTCTTAAGGACTACGAATATTCTTTTTATTTGCTTGAGGACCAAAAATGATATTTACTCCAATACTTATTAGTTAGAGTAGCTTGCTTGTAGCTGTAGCTGTTTTCCATTCACCATCAACTTGAGGCCCGTGATTTGTAGTTAATAGATGATGGTGAAAGAAATCTTCCTAGTGCTTAGTAGGTAATAGATTATCATGAAAGAGAACTGTTTTGGGCATAATCTAATGGTGCAAACACCTTGGAAAATAATATTTCAACACCATAATAAATACGCCACATTTACACTTCACTTAATTGAATAAGAAAATTAAAGAGAGAATGTGTCATAATATATGTTTGCTTGTTTTCTTATCCAAAAATAATGTAAAAATATCATTATTCTGGTGGGACTTTACTTCTCTATTACATCGGTTAAAAAAAGAGATATTCTAAATATTTTACTCTGGCTAAGTGGTACATAGCTTCGGCCATGTGAAGGTTGATTAAGATTAATAATCACTTAAATTTAACACAAAACAGTTGAGCCATTGGCCGTTTATATTCGATTTCCAATATAAAAAGAAAAAATATGATTAACATATTTAAATATTACAGGCAGTTAATTTATTTTTAAAAATAAAATCTAAATTTTATTAACACATATTTGTTACAACAATAATGCGATCTACACGTTATTTATTTTCCAAAAAAAAGATCTACACGTTATTTTCTTCATATCATTTTCACATTACTTCTTTCTTAGAGAATAGAAAAACCATATGTTAAAAAACTTTTTCTCTACTTTATTTTTTAATAAAAATACAAAAATAATGTAAAAATATTAACTAAAAATACTTTCTACCATGAACTTTTGATCTTTATCCGTACCTATTCTTTAGGGGTGCCAGATATAAGCTGTACTTATACCTATGAAATTATTTTATCGTGTGGTTGTGAAGTATCGAAATTCGTATTATTTTTTTTAACAAATAATGGATCTCATCATTTATTGTGTCTATAGTATAAGAGATATTATTTCATGTGACACGAAAAAATAGAAGTCCATAAGAAATATTATAGCATCAACGACTTATATTATTCCCAATTAAGCATAAGGTTCTTTTTATACACATAACCTAATACAAACTATCTAAACTACTCACAATTGTTCAAATCCTAGTGGCTTTAATTAATTATAAGGTTTAAACTCGGTACATATGCTAAAAACCCTGGTGCATAAATATAAAAAAGTCGTCTGTACAGGGTGGTCATCATGAAGAACAACAGTGGTGAATAATTAAACATAACTATCACAACGATCGCCCACGTAAACACAAACATAAATTTCCCACTTCTATTCTCCTAACTTGTATTCTAAGCCATTAGCAGAACTTGGTTCCTAGTCGTTAAGGGAAGGCACAGCTTAAGTATGAAATTGCAAGCCCTTGATCTAGTGGATTTCTAGAGCCTTACATGATTGAACATGCATTAGGATTATCATCACTGAAGAGAGAGGTGAGCTTCTCATCCTCTGAATTTGGGTTGGGGAGTGCTTGGTCAGCGTTTTTCACATATCCAGAGGGTGCCTTCTTGTCATATGCCTGCGCAACATAAGGATATGCCACCAAGTTATATTGAATATATGGCCAAAACTCTGCTCTCTTTCCTGTGCTCTTCACTTTCTTTAGGACCTTGTTTCTATCCACGTAACCAGTCACTGTTACCTTGCTTTGCTTTCTATTCACCTCTACTTCCTTCACACCTGGATTGTTCTAAAATGTTTTAGTTCAACTTGTAAAAAATCAATTCAACCCAAAAGTTTAAGTTGTTAGGTGAGACTACATTAATAGTTTTATATATCTCAACACGTCCCCTCACATGAGAGCTCACTGGATTTGAAGGTGGACAATGCACAGTCCCACCTACCTGTGTGAACAAAGAAATTCCACTTGAAAGAAAATGAGGGACGACGAGGATCGAACCCGGGACACGCGACTCTGATACTATTAAAGAACTAATTTAACTCAAAAGCTTAACTGTTGGTGAGACTACATTAATGATTTTATATATCTCAACACAACTTATATTCTCGTAGCTAGAGCAAATTAATTAGCAAACTATCAAAAAATTATGTCGTTTGAGTTAAGAAGAGAAATACAAAAGTGCAGAACTAGTAGTTAAAAAAAAAAAAAAAAAATTGTATTGAGAGAGGAAGAAATTAAATATCATGTCAAAGCTATTCATAGCTTCAAAGTGAAAGCATATTTCAAAGGACTTCCAACTTAATTTCCTACAAGCCATAAAAGTTTACTTTGAACTACGAAGTATGGAAGATGAAAATAGGAAAGGTTTCTTCTATTTTTTGCTTGAAAAATCATGAAGCCGTGTGATGTATGGACATGTTGTTTATCACATACATAATAACCACCATATTTAGTTCTCATGAATGAAAAAGTTGACAAGGAACTCCTGTAGACAGAAATATGAGAGAGTAAGAAAGAAAGAGGTATGAACCTTTCATGTTGGAAACAGAATTCCGAACTCTTCTTTCACAGCCATCACAGTCCATTTTCACTTTGATTTCAACTGTCTATAAAACAAAGGAGAAAAAGAAAATCAGAATTTGCTTGAGACTAAGCCCACCGTTAAAGACACATACATAAATGGGATAGGAGCTCATGAAAACCTGCATTGGTTTGCGTTTCTTTTTTGGGGTGGAAACTGAGAAGTAATCTGAAAGGAAATCAAGAGCACCCATTTTCTTGGTTCTTTTTTGAGCAGAGAACAGAACGGAGTACTTAACAGACAAAGGGGTATAAAGAAGATATAGAGCAGAGTACTTGACAGAGAGAGGGAGTAATGGGGCTATAGGACACTACTTTGGTCTTTGGGGTACCAAATTATACGTTTACAAGGGAAGAAGCGTCCTTAATATATATCCACAAAGTTGGCTAAAATTTAATATAAAATAATGCTTAGATAATGACTTTTGTCGCTCTAATCATGTCTCTCACTCCAAATATCATGAGACAACTGGAGGGTTTGAGCACCAGCCACTTGAGACCAATATACAAAATTATTGAATCTATAGAGTTAATTATTTGAGAATGATAAGGGTAAAATATTTATTATCCACCCATAGTCTAGCAGCTGGTTTCTTTTCTTTTACTCAAAGAAACGTCGACTGTTGTAGACTTTCTTTCAACTTCTAATTCTCTTCTGATTTTTCTTCTCAATGATATGCATCTGACTCGGAATATCTGTATCACATTGATTTAATTAACTTCAGAGCGCGCGAATTCTGTTAAATTGAGTGATTGTTACAAATGAAATCAACAACTAAAATTGAATGTGAGACTAGTCTTATAAGTTAATCTTATATTATGTGTCATATATGTCAACATAAGCATTAGTATCATTAATATCTATTATCAATTATAATACCAGTATCATGTCTAATAACGGCTACATAATGAAAACGAGTCAGAAAGAAATCATATATATATTTTTGGAGTAGATTCTCTTCTGCGCTAATTAATATAACCATGTCAATTGGAATAATCATAATTATATATAGGTGAGTTAATGGTGATAAGAAAGAAAAGAGAAAAAATATAAGAATAGGAATAAAAAATTACATAATCATCATCATTGATTTAATTATTAATGATTAAAATCCTCTCACGTTACATAACCATGTTAAATTATACATGATAGGATTCATTTCTATATTTCTTCCAATTAGTGAGTCGCACAGGCTGAGATTTTCCTATGGCGGTCAATGTTGTACGATTTTTCTTGTGATTAACGTAAAAGGATTCACTTGTCGTTATAAAAAAATTATTTTAATTTGAAAATTTTATATTTGAAACTCAGATGACGATCCTCTACAGTTCTATCCAAACCCCTTCAAACATTTTATTATATGATAAGAAATTAATAATAAACTCAATTTGATAAATGTGGACAGGATGACAAGCTGCACTCTGTGAGAATAATAAGGGGTTGGTACAGGAATTTTTTTTGGATTTTCGAGAAATTAAAATTTTTAAAATTTTAAATTTTTAGATATTATCGTAAATTGAATGTAGAAATTATATTTTTAAAAATTGAGATTTCCGGATAAATAAAAAATTTTCCTGTACCAAACACCCCCAAAGAGATTCTCGTCCTTATTATATGGATGTGTTTTGTATAGGTTTTATTTTTTGTTTGATGGGAAAGTATAGGTGGGTATTGGTGTATATCACTTTTGGTACAAACTATTAAAAAAAAATATGGAAGGATAGGAAACATGATTTGTGTTGCTTTTTGGCACAATAACACTGTTTCAAAATACATCATAAGACATGGTATTTTGGATATGGATGGGAAAGTGAAAAATGTTCCTCAATAACACTGTTGTAAATATTTCTCCGATGATATTTCGATCAACGAAACATCTTTTCTTAAACTTTTCTATCAAACTTATTTTTTTACCATTTTCCATGTAATTGTATTTTTCTAATAAAAAACTTTTTTCCTCTACTAAACGTCCCCTAAGGGTCACAAAAGGCATTGAATAGTTAACCTTGGTAGGTGATTCAGTATTGGGAAAAATGTTTCTCCTTTTAAATGACATAACTTATGTCATTTTACTCTCACAAAAAGGTGGGACTCACATCTTTATATTTTTTTTTGTCCACACTCTCTTTTAATTTATCTATTTTTTTCTCTCATTTAAAATGACACAACTTTATATCCTTCATACCTTGGATACTAAATCAAAACCGAAGAGGTTCCATTACCTCCCCTCCCCTCAAAAAGGGAAAAAGTTAACATGATCCTGGCACATGTTAATTTTTCCTGGCCTCACTCACAGTCAAAAATATTTTTTGATCATTTTATCCCTGCTTTTTTCTTTTCTTTTCTATCATTTACATGTGAGAGGGACTATCTTGATCATGCAAATATTTCTCCTCAAAAAGGAAAAAGAAAAGAGCTTCTTAATCATTAATTTCACTGCAACCATTCTGTTGCGTTCATGAATGAGATGGGTAAATTTTACTTTGTTGGAAAATGATTGTCATTGATCATTTTGAAGTGTCAACATCTCTAGGGTGAGAGTCTTCAATGCTTTTTAAATGTCTCGTTTTGATTGTATAAATCCCTCATTTGTTTTTTATATATTCAAGTGAGATTCGTAACATTAAATAGAGGGAATTAAAAAATATTGAGTCTTAGTTATAAAAAAAAATATTGAGTCTTGAGAATTTCCACAATTTAATGGTTAAACCCCAAATTTTATATAAAATTCAAGGTTGACCAACACACCTTCACAGTGTAATGCATATTTAGGAACTGGGAACAAATCGATGAAATGTCAAAGCCATCTCAAATCAAAGCTTTGAAGCTTTTCATGATATCATAAATGGTTTTTTTTATACTTTTGTCATTTATTAATTAATTAATAATTAATTTGTCCCTTTATCAGAACTATTCATCATCCTGCTCCTATTTAGTTAATTAAGGTGAAGATGTAATCGACTAAATTGACAAAATACAGAAAATATGAACCCCAAAATTTAATCGACTACAACACCATCTTGATCGATTAAATTTCAAAGAGATTTAATCGACTAGAAATGCTTATTTAGTAGATTAAATTGCACATACAATATCTCTGTCTCATCATTAGGGTGAGCCCAATTAATGAAGGAATAATGTGGGCTTTCGTTCCAAAATGACTCAATCTCAGAACCTACGTCCAAATTTAAACTTTTCCGTTAGTACAAATGATAACACAAATATGAAATGTTCATTTAAAACTTTAATTTACTATCTTACCACTGCTAACAGGGTCAACACGAAGTGGTGGCATAACCTGGGAACTCAAGTTTCCTGAGTTTGTGTCAGCGTCAAAATTTCTCTCTATGTCCGTATCTGAGGTGTCAGGACATTGACCATGTTGCCACCCCTTTAATAAAAAATTACCAGCTTGCCACGTCAGGAAATTTTTCCCCCAAAATGCCACGTCACAATCCCGCTGATCTGACAAGCGGGAATGGTCTGGACACGTGTCAACGTCTGAATGGTCAACCATTCTCGCTGGACTGGCTAGTTAGAATGACAGAATGTTGACACGTAACAAAGTACAGACATCCAGAGAATGCTTGTACTTTTGCCATGTGTCAGCATTTTGCCATTCTAGCTGGGCAGCCTAGCGAGAATGGTTAACCATTCAGACGCTGACACATGTTCAGACCATTCCCGCTTGTCAGACCAGCGAGATTGTGACGTGGCATTTTGGCAATTTTTTTCCTAACGTGGCAATCCCGTATTTATAATAAGCGGATGGTAGATAATTTTGGGAAGAGACAAATTAGTTATTAATTAATTAATGAGGGGCAAAAGGATAAAAAACCTATCATAAATAGTTAAGACTATCTATAATTTTTTTATTCGACACCAGTCTTGTCAAAATTAATTAGACGTGCATTATTAAAACATGACAATTAAGTGAGAGAAACAGAGGATGACAATCATTCAATTCCCATGTCCATCTAATCTGATTGTTCTCACTCTCTTGCGGCATCAATTCATGGATTCAATGGTTCTTACTTAATTTGCGTTTTGTTTGCCACCATTATTTATCCATGTATCACGATCCGATTACGAACATGTATCTCTAGCCAAGGATCTAGCATTGGTACTTTGATGTCACCATTCTCCTTCTAGGGGTTGCTTTCAATCTATTAGTTTTTCCTTTCCCTCGGTGTAGGGACAGAACTAGATACACATAATTTGTAGTAAATTTCTTTTTTTTTGATCGTCAGCAAATTTTACTATACTCATTTTAGTTCCTAACAAATAAAAAAGTTATTCGTGATCTCTAAGAGATTCAAAATGGATCAATTTAGTTGAAATTGTGGTCCCTCACAAATTCAAAAAAGATTCATATTAGTCCGATTAAATTGGGTCTACTTTGAATTTTTTAGGGATCACGAATAGTCTTTTTATTTGCTAGGACTAAAGCGGACATCATAAAATTTGCTGAGGACCGAAAATGGTATTTACTCTACAAGTTAAGTACGTCAGTGTCATAAAATTTTATTGTATAACAGTATACATAAGTTTTTTAATTCCGCCAATTTTTCTTCTTGGAGCATCCCCTGATAGTCGAGGTTTAGTGCTGTTGATGAAGCTCGGAGTCTTGCTTCTTTTTCCCTTTGTAACTAAAAAAATCTTAAGAAATTGTTGTCAAGTTATTTATTTACTCTCATAACTTGAAGCTCAAAATTAGAAATAGGTTTTTGAAACCACCGAAGATGCGATTTTCTCTTCAATAATTCAATTAAATTAACTAATATGAGCATTATGTATGAAATTGCAAATAAGAGTTAAGAGCAAAATTTCCATTTGTAAGGAATTTAAAAATGTAGGATTCAGGAGTTTCAATCATATAAGTGATTTATTCAACGTTGATAGCATTTCTCGCAAAAATAATCAAAAAATATTTTGTTTCTTAGTTCAAGTTAGCTATTGTGACGCTCATTTGAGTTTGTTTAAGCGGGTAATCAAAACTTGTCAAAACCGGAAACTCTTGTACTGCTGTCCAGTTGTACTCAATAATTGATCCGAAGACGCGGGTGAAAATGACGCTTGCAAACTTAAGGGTATATTTATTGTAGAGTAAACATCTTTTTTGTCCCTGATAATATCTACGAAATTTTTTTTAGTCCCTGACAATAAAAAAAGACCAAATTAGTCCTTAATAGTATGTAAAAAGGGTCACGTTAGTGACAGATGAGTTGACATAAGGATTAATGTGGCCCTTTTTTTCATAATTTTAGGGACCAATTTGGTCCTTTTTTATTCTCAGGGACTAAAAAAGATTTCGTAGATATTGCTAGGGACCAAAAACAGTGTTTACTCTTTATTGTATTTATTCTACATGTTTTTAAAATTATTTTATAGAATGGTTAATGAAATGTATATTTATTGAATTTTTAAAAAAGTATCAAAAATCAAAACATAAAATAAAAATAATGCAGATCTCAGACATGTTTGAAATCTATTTCAAAAAACAATTTTTTGATTTTAAGAATAAAAAAACCAATTTGATAAGGTCTATTTTGTAAAAAAAGGTTTAAAAATTATAACTGTTTTAAAAAAAAATCAAATTTAGATAACATATATGAGTTGTTTTAGTTTTGTGTTTGACTTTTAATTTTCAAAAATAAATAAATAGAAAACACATATTTCATTAACTATTCTATAAAACAGTTTTAAAAAAAAAAAATCAGAATACAGTCGAGCAGACTACATCTTCTCTAATTTTGATTCTAAAAACTAAACAATAGATATAATTTTAAGAACTATTTTTAGAAAATAAACATTACAAAACAGGTTTTTTTTTGTTTTTTTCTAAAAATTAAAAAATTATTTTTAAGAACTGAAATCAAACCAGCTTTAATGTCTGAGGTGTTCTCGTAGATCACAATACGCATGCAAATTTGTGAAAATATTTACATCTATATAGGCCTATAAATATGGGCCAGTGCATGTACTGATCAGCCAGGCCCTTTTATATGGGCCACATAACAATTGTTTTTGGGTCATAAAGTTGCTGACTAAGTGAATTAGGGTCAGGTCAGCCAGTCCATACAAAATCATCACATAAACCATTAATTCAATGTTTGAGGACCAGACTTTTTGTGTTTTTTTTTTTGAGTAAAATATCGTACTCATAAAATGAGAAGGCCGGATGTAAATGAATTAAGAGGTCGTTTGTTTCAGCTTTTGCAAAAAGTAATTTTTATCACTTTTTTATTTTAAAAGTATTTTTTACAAAAGTTAAAATTATTTATATTTTTATAAAAATATTTAATTTTTGAAAAAAATATTTGACTTTTAACTTCTGCTTTTCTTATAAGTTAAAATTTTTAGATTCTGAAAAAAGTAGATTTTTGGCTTTTTTTGTGACTTCTCCTTTTTTAAAAAGCAAATATACAAACGAACTAAAAACGAGAAGTGCTTTTTTTCCTGAAAAAAAGGTTCATCCAAACGGGCCCTAAGTTGGCCTACGGTCTCGCCTATATTAAGTCAGGCTTGACCTATTATAAATAGTAAAATAGAACAGGCGTAGACTTTTAAAAACAATTATTTAGAAAACAGGTCATACACTTTTTTATACATGTCGAGCCTATAAGCATACATGTCGGGTTATATCATATTATTTATTTAAAATATAATAAATAAAATTATTATTTTAATAATTTTGAATAATAAAATAATATTATTTTAATTATTATTTTAATTGTTGAATGTTTAATAGGCTTAAACAGTCTAACAGGCCTAGGCCAATGATTTTATTTTTAAAATATAGGTCAGGACAGACTTGTAATTTCGAGTCTACACAGGCTAATAGGTCAGGCCATAGCCAATATTTTTTATACAGACCTGATCTATTTAAGCCAAAGCCTAACTTAGCTAGTTAGTTGTAGCTTAGCAAATTCAGGAGGAATAATGTTCATGCAATCATCATTGAGCATTCATGTTATATCTGTGATGAATTAATTTTCTTGATACATGGCATAAATTGTTTGTCATCATCAAAAAAGAGAAAATTGTTGCATATTTATTATACTCCAATTATTTAATTGATTTAAAATATATTTTGATGATTATAATTAATTTAATAATAATTTAATTGATAATATTTTATTGTCTTGAAATTACTAATTAGGTGATTGTTTGAGATTTCAGAATAATATTTATTCTGATTTTAAATAGTATTAAAGATAATTAATAATTAAATATTACATTAAAATTGGAGAAGATATAAAAAATACGAGAGAGAGAGAAAAACATGAGATATATTGAATATTGAAGAAGATATGGAACCCGACCCCAAATTGCTTCTAGCAAGAATCGAACGCACGACTTCATTAGGCACCATCGGTAAGGGTTGCATCTCTTTGTCCACGCTCTCTCATCGTTCCTGATCTCGGCGGTGTCTGAAAACCCCGTGGGTTATTTTTCAGCCCCCTCGTTCTTTTTGGGCTACAGAAGCGATTTCTTCTTCTTCTTCTTCACAAAGGTTGTTCGACTCGTTCTTCTTCTCCTCTGATTTCTTCTTGCTTCAACTAGTTCTTCTTCTTCTTTTACAAAGGTACGGTTTCCGTTCACAAGTTTTTTTTCTCCTCAATGGCTTCGTATGTTTTTCTTAGGATTTTTCTGCTTGCTTCATATGTTATCATGGGGTGTTTGCCTTTGAACTTTGAAATTTCATCTGGGTCTTTTTTTTTTTTTTTTTTTTCAATTTAAATTGTGCTATCGAGTATATGCTACCTAGCTGATAGAAATGCTACCTAGCTGATAGAAATGTAAAACACATTTGAGTAGTTATTCAGTGTACCTTCCTTTCATATTGTTAACGTGAAATTCTCACTAGGGTATGCGGGGGATAAATCCCTATAAATGAGTCCATAAGCTGAAAGTGTGAAATCTTAAATTTTTCAAGGAAGCATTCCATGCAAGAGCCCACTGGTGTGCTGAGATTTAATTTAAAATAGTTGAAAATGGGAAGATGTCATATTCCAGTATCTTGAATATAAAGAGACTGTATAGAAACTTGGCCTTTAAAGTTCTTGATTCCCCATGATAGCTATCATGTTTTAGTGGATGTCCTTGCCTACAGACACTTGTTTCAGGATCTGGTTATGATTGCTTTTAGTAAAGCTTTTCTTTCTAAAGGCTTTGCAACTGTTTGTACCAATTGATAACAAACAAATTCAGGGTTGTTGTCACTTTTTTTTTTAATTATTTTTTTTAGTCATGTGCTAATTATGTCAAAGCTTTGTTATCAAAATTTCATTTACTTGTAAGTGTTGACAACCAATTTATTATATGAAGTGGGAGGGATGTATAAGTTTCGAAACACTGATGCCCAGTTTTGTGTTTTTATATTGATATTTGCAGGAACACCTTAAACAAAGGGATCTGTCTTTTGTATTCAGGTTACAGGTAACTGAAGCAATCTAATTGTTGCGTTGTTTCAACTTTCTCTCTTTTTCTTCTTTTGGCTGTTGTTTTTCCAACTTTCATACTATGTGGACTTTGTTCTCTCTCTCTTTCTCTTGTCCATCATAAAGCTAGCTTCAAATCTCCCTTATTTAGTTTTTGTTTTTTATGCTGTAGTCATTCCTGTACTCACAATATTTCTTTTTTTTTTTTTGGTATTCTTTTTACACTATAGGGTGCTGATAATTCAACACTTTATGGGTGCTGTGTCTTAGTTGATGAATTAGTGCAAAAGCCCTCTGGATTCCTCTACCTGATTTCGGATAAGCAGTCGTCTCACTCTTCTTTGAGACGCCATATACTAATCACACGGAGATGTTACTGCATTCTCTCAAGGCTCCCATTTTTTGAACTTCACTTTGGCGTATTGAATAGGTATGTATTTATAATAATTCAGCCACTTTTGCCATGACATTTTCTGCATCTATGTCAGTGGTGGAATATTACCTTCTAAAATAGTTTCCTATTCCTTATAGTAAGTATGGATGAATGGAAAGGGAACTAACAAAATATTTTCTTTAAATCACTTCAAATGCTCACTTTCTGATTGCCTTGCAGCTCTTTGTTTCGTAGCTGTATCCACTGTTGCGGCCTTTGTTGGGCAACACTTAGTGAGAAAGCTGATTGCCATATTAGGGAGAGCATCATTGATTATTTTCATTCTGGCCGGCACAGTTTTTGTGAGCGCAATATCACTAGGCAAGTGTCATTAGCAGGACTAATTATTTTTTCCTGGAAGCTCAGAGTTTTTCAATACTTGATTAAGATTTCCTCATTTTTTTGGTTTTATTGCAGTTAGTGTGGGCATAGCAAAAATGATCCAAAAACTTTCAAAGCATGAGTACATGGGGTTTGAAAACCTTTGTACTTATACAAGCTAAAATATGAGAATTTAAGTTACAGATTCAACTTCAAGTGAAGGACCATTTAATTGACATTTTTCAAATATTTTTAACCGAGTCAGAATATTTATACAATTATGTCAAGATCTTTAAATAATGTAATGAAAATTCAGCACTTATTGTTTGTCAAACAAACGCCCTCTTGGACTCAATTTCTTATGTAAATAATCAATGATATCACTTTATAAAAGGCTTCCTCCAGATAGCTTATACTAAGTCAAATGGTTCATTACAAAAATGGTTCATTACAAGCCTAAATGTTTTATGATTTCAGCAAATTACATGCTGCTGTGCTTAAAAGTTCCTATCTGTTGAATTGGATTTTTATTGATATTTTGTTGGTTCATTGACTCATAATTCTGCATTTAGTTTTCTGATTTCTCAGTATTCAGTATTCATTTGGTTCATTGACTCATATTTTGTACACTTTTTGATTTGCAGAAGCTATAATTGCTTAATCTGAAAAATAAGATTTTTGGCCCGCGGGCTGGCCCTAACCCGTTGGGTTATATGATTTTTTGGCCCGTGCGGGCTGTTTAATATGTGGGCTTTTTGGCCCTGGCCCGCGTGGGCTAGGGCCTAAAGGGCCGGGGTGGCCTGTTTTGACAGCTCTAGTTATAATCTTTGTGTTATTATTATGCAGGCATTGGTACATTCTAGAAATCTGGAAAATGCTTTCTGGGGTTAAATTTATTCCCCGTGACAAGGTTAGTAGAGTTAGCATACTTGTATCATAGTGTCACTGTTTTTATTCCCTATTCCTAAGTCCGATTGTGTTTTGTTTTATACCCGCGTTACTGTATGTGTACTAGATGCAAGATGAGGACTTGGATTCTATCTCGAAAGAGAGGAAAAAATCAGATAGTAGCAGGAAAAAGAATAAGGGGAAAGAGAAGAGATCTAGAAACAGCTCTTCTGATGATGAAGAGCTTGCTAAGATAAAGAAAGGCTCTAGAAAGAAGAAGTGGTATTCATCCGATGAAAATTCTTCGTTTTACACAACTGAAAGCGAAAGAGAAAGTGAGCAAGATGAAAAGAAGAGAAGGAGGAAAGCAAAAAAGAAAAGGGATGATGGTTCATCTCATGATTCTGGTGAAAGGTCTAAAAGAAGATCAAGATCGAGGAGTGGTAAAAAAGAATATACATCTGAGGAAAGCTCTTTGCCTTCTTCTGATGGTGGTGATAGTTTTTCGGATAGGCAAGGGGAGGGCCGAAAGTCAGATAGAAAAGATAGGAGTAAAAAGAACAAGATCAAAGGCGAACCTACCAATGTCGCATTAGATTCTGTAAGTAAGATGGAAATTGCAAGAAAGGAAATGGGATTGGATTGGATGCTTAGGTCTGAAAGTAAGAGACCTGCGATTTCAGAAACAGAGGAGCAATTGCCAGAGGAAGTTCCAGTTGAGGAAGTATGTCTCAGTGTTAAATTTCTTTTCTCCTTAGCTCTTAAAATGTCTAGCTCTCCTGTCAGATTCTATATTTATATTCTTTTACTGTCCTCAAAGGAAGTCGCATTGTTTTCTGTTTTTCAATTTTTGTTGCTTTACTATGAGTTTACTCTTTATCGACCAGAATTTTTTGGTGTCATTTTCTGCTATTTCTTGCAAGAAATGAAAAGAATAAATGAGAAGGGAAAGATAAAATGATTTTGTAATAAATTCAAAGAAGAAATGAAAGCAAAAAGAAACTTTTTTTTCTTATATTGTCATGACCCACCAAATTTTTTATAAAAAACGGAGAAGAAAAATATAAAATAAAATGGAGGAAAAGAAAGTAAGTGGAAAAAATTTATCAGATATTTAGTCCAAAATCTTTGTAGAAAAGGTATAAGATAGTTGACTTTGGTGAGCTAATGCCTTTTGTAGATCAAATTCTTTGAACCTTTGGCCTTCCTTCTGCAGGAGAGTTAGTTTATGTTCATGTAGTCTAATATTATTTCTATAAGTTTTTTTTCTTTTTTCATATATATAATTTTTTTTTTTGCTTCTTTACAGCCTATTTGGCTCATCTAATTTTTTATTTTTTGTTTGAACTGATGAATGAGTTAACAACATTTCACTTTCCCTGTTGACACTCCAATAGGCAAAGTGCATGTCCATTTCTGGCTTTCCGTTTTCATGTTTTAATCTCATGCCAATGTAAGGTGTTAAAAAGACTAAATAGTTTGTGTTCTTTTGCAGTCAAAGAAGGAGAATACTAGAGAATTAAATCCATATTTGAAGGATGATGGAAGTGGTTACCCGGAAGAAAGTGATGGGGCTAAAGTTGGTGTAGACCAACTTCTATCTTCTTCCCTTGTTGGGGATGGAGGAGCAAGTTGGAGACTTAAAGCTTTAAAACGTGCACAAGAGCAAGCTTCTCGCGAAGGACGAAACTTTCAAGAGGTTTTATGCCTTGCTTTTTCATATTTTCTTTTTTCTTTTTAATCCTCTTCATCCATCTTATAAATTTTTTACCATTCACTATATGCATATGTACAGGTTGTGCAAGAAAGGTGGGGTTCTCTTGGTGAGTTGACTGCATCTGTTGCATCACATGCAGCTGCCCCAGCTCGTGCTCATCTACGTGCTATAAAAAGTAGACAAAGAGGGACAACTGAAGAAAATTCACCAAATTCTGATAAGTATAGCCGAAGGGATTCTAGAAGGGTAACTCTGAGAACAGATAAAAAACTATTACATATTTCATTCTTGTTTATTGGACGGATTCTATTTTAAAAAAATTATTTTGGTGTTTATCTCATTTTTCTGGAATTCTGAAGCATATTCCATTACACTTTACTGAATTTGGTGATGAAACACTCGCAGGACTACTTAAAGGGTGTTTCTGTCCATCGTGAAATGAAAGCACCTAAAGTTCAAGATTCTTTATCTTGGGGAAAGCGAAAAGCCAAACATGTTGAGGGTGCTGATGTCATATCTGCTGCAGCATCTAGCCTAAATAAGTTTACTAATGATGGAAGTTTTATGCTTGAATTTGCTAGCAAGAAGAGTAATGATTCTGATGGTTCTGTTTTGGAAAGTATTGAATCGGAAAAGGTTTCATCGGAACTAAACACACTGGGTGAAAGAAATGCAGTAGTCAAGAATGAAATGAGTGCAAACCAGTTGGCAGCTAAGGCTATGCAACTTCGTCTGAAAGGAAAGCATGAAGAAGCTGAGAAATTAATGGTAAGACCATAATATGAGAGAATATGCTCTCTTTGTGAGACTTTGTTTGCGTCTTATCTGTTTTGCGGTTTAAACTAATGCCTCTTATTTTGTTTTTCTTGTCTATTCTGTGCACCCTTCCAATGTTGAAGTTAGCATTATATTCAATTAGTTTATCCATTCTTACCAAATTAGCTAAAACTAGAAATAGCCATCGCCAATTACTTTTTCAGATAAATGTTTGTGATTTTGGTCCTTCCTCCATATTGAGGACAAGGAAGGGTTTCTCTAGTCCAGAAGCCTTGAGAAATCCATAATGAATTATAACTTCCTTCAGGGTTTCTCTGGTCCATGCGGCATAAACAAGTTTGCTATCTTGCTTTCCATCAGTAAAATTTCTCTTTGTTAGTCTTGCTTTAGCACTTGCTCTGAAATTTATACGTTTTGTTCTTGTCTTGCTGGACTTCTATTTCATTTTTCTTGGGAGGGGAATTTATGGGAAGGTGGTAGGAGACTAGGGAGTTGAAAAACTCATAGCTTTGAAAGAACACAATGTCTTTCTTTGCCTTTTGCTTTTATTTTACATTGCTTTGGGAGGATGCGGGGTTAGCCTAGTCTATTGAGTTTATCTGTTGTCTACAAAAACATATCCTTCTGGTTTTGTGATTATTTTAATCTGGTTTTCATTCTCGTTTTGGTGGGCAGCAAGAAGCAAAGGTTATGAACACAAAACAGGGAAATCAAGATCATACGATTAGATCAAGAACTGGGGGAAGTTCTAGCAGGTATTTTGCTGTCTTGGAATTCTGAGTATGTTACATTGTTTTCCTTATTTCCATACATGCTTGAATTATTCATTTCTGATGTGAAAACATCATGTCTAAGGTGAAATTTCTTGTATAGCAGCAAAACATAGGGAAACTCTTATTGCCTTCTATTTTGTTTGCATTTCCTTATTCTTCTTTGTAAGTTCGTAACCATGTTTGATTTGTTGCATTATTATTATTATTGGAATTTACAGCTTTATATATTTTTGTAAAATTTTATTATTTTTTATGATTCCAATGGTGCCATTTTTCTTTATTCAAGATATGATATGCAAAAGGTATCTGCTCAACAGAAGAAAGGAGAGGATGATACTGATATGCATCTTGCTCGCAAGATTATGCAGAACAAGCAATTTAGGGTTTCTACTCAGGCTGATGATGAATATGACTTTGAAGATGGTCAAAGCAGAAAGAGTAGAAAGAAGCAAGGAGGTGATGATCGCAAGATTATCCAAAAAAACACAAATACAAATCGATTCTTGACCCAGCAAGAGCGCTGCCTCTTTTGTATAGAGAATCCAAATCGGCCAATGCATCTTGTTGTGTCAATTGCAAATTTCACATATCTTATGTTGCCACAATGGCAACCTGTGGTGCCTGGTCATTGCTGCATTTTACCCATTCAGGTGAGTTTAATTTCTACTACTGTCTGTTTCTTCCACTGTTGAAGCCAATCACAAAAGCAGCACAAGCTTGTTGTTTATTCAATACAATCCCTGCAATGAGTGATTAAATTCTTTAAATGATGATTTTTCTTATGGTAAAAAAAAATCTATTTAACAAAGGTTTGAACACCTGAGGATTTTTTTTTTGACTTGAACCATTGCTAAATAAAGAGTGTGGATCCAGGTAAATATTGAAATAGATCATAGTAATGAGGATTGAAGTGTATTTGATGCCTTCATCTGGAAATTGGGATAATAACATGATAAGATGTAGTAGTACTGCCTGTACTGAGAGCAGCATTAAGTTATATAAACATGGTGTGAATTGAAAGTGGATCAACATATTTTTTGGCTAGTTGGTTTGTGCCATAATGAACTTGTTAATTATTTTTATTTTTATTGACTTTTAAATTTGCAACTTTATCTTATCCTTTTATATAACAGCATGAACCAGCTACAAGAACGGTTGATGATAATGTGTGGATAGAAATTCGAAACTTCAAGAAATGCCTAATTATGATGTTTGCAAAGCAAGAGAAGGAGGTAGTGTTTCTTGAAACTGTGATGGGATTGGCACAACAACGACGGCATTGTATGGTTGAGTGCATTCCTTTACCCCAAGATATTGCCAAAGAGGCTCCTTTATACTTTAAAAAGGTGAGATGCCAAGCATCGTTTTATTGTGTAGTTCTGCATTGCTTACTTCTCTTTTCAGAATCAATGTTTTTCATTTATGCATCATGAAATGAACTATTCATCTATTAGGTTTCATTTTATAAATTGGCTGTCTGTTTTTTAAAATGAGTTCATCACAGGCAATTGATGAAGCTGAAGATGAGTGGAGCCAGCATAATGCCAAGAAACTAATTGATACAAGTCAAAAGGGATTGCGCAATTCAATACCCAAGCACTTTCCGTATTTTCACGTAGAATTTGGTCTAAACAAAGGTTTTGTCCATGTTATTGATGATGAAAAGCAGTTCAAGAGCAGCCTTGGCCTGAATGTCATAAGAGGCATGCTACATTTGGCAGAGGAAGACATGTATCGGCGTCGACGCTACGAGGAATTAGATGTACAAAAGCAAGCAGTTGCTACCTTTTCCAAGGAGTGGGAACATTTTGACTGGACAAAGCAACTTCATCAAACATCTTAACAGAGCATTGTACAGATTTGCTTTTTACACTTTATCTTAACATCTTATGATGTAGGTTAACATTTGCTTATGCATCGTGGCATGCTAATAGAAATGAATTTTGTATAACTCCTAAAACAAAACAAAACAAAAAAAGAAAGAAAAAGAAAAGAATGTTTATTCTTTGTTCATGTATACGTTCAGTTCACTGGTCATTCCCGCTCCTTCCGTTCATGACAAGAATGGGTTGCTTTTCATTTACTATCAGGTGCAGGCTTGATTGTCAGGCAAGAGTTTCTGATAGATAACGTGTTAAAAACCCAGCAAACGTTGATAGGGAGAACTGTAGAATACACTGACAGGAAGATCTCCAACAACCGTAATTGATTTGCCTAGGCAGTGAAATGCTTTTGATCATTCCATCCAATGAACTGGTTGCAATACACTAGTAGCTAAATACTTGTTCATGTTGGAAGATTTGGAACTGTTGTCGGGAAATTCATTTTTTCTTTAATTTATGGGATGTCTCCATACATGATGAATGAAAATAATTACTTGAATTTTTAAAATTTCTTTTTACGAAAATTAACTTTGAGATAAAGTGTCCTATCGTTAAATAATGTATTATTAAATTTATTATATTATTATACAAAATTTTTTTATTATATCAAGTGCACTGTATTATTACATATACTATATTATTAAAGGGAGAATGATTTCTGTAGTTGTTACAATAATTGTTTCCTCTACCGCTGATACAAAAATAAGAGAGAAGAAGAGAAAATTTTGTATCAGTGGCGGGAGAATAATTTCTGCGGCATGTCCGTAAATCTTTCTCCCATTATTAAATGACTATGAAAAGTCTTTTGAATGCAGATTGTATAAAAAATAAACTCTTAATATATTTATCTTCTCTTTAATGAAATTTTTTTGTTTGAAATTAAGAATCCTTTAGATATTTGTTTAATAAAATAATTTTACACCCAAAAATAATTTCTTCATACTAATTAAATAAATTCACCCCAACAAATTTATTTGTACCGATATACTAAACACATTTTAGTAAATTAATCCCAATAAATTAAGGGTTCATTTTTTCTACAATCAACGTAGATAACTTATCTACAGTGAGCCCAAAATAACGTCATTTTGAAGTGAAAATCAAGGTATTTTTGTAATTATAATTTATTTCAGAGTTATAATAATCTTTTTCATATAATTTTTTAACCCAAAACGACGTCGTTTTGAGAGCAAATGTAGATAACTTATCTACATTCACTTTAAAAACATTAAAACCATAAATTAATCCTTCTTCATATCATTATGCATTCCTTTATTTCCAAAATATTCCTCTTTGATTATTTTAGTCAACCAGAAATAAAGAATCAATCACTTATATTAAGGTAAAAAAATTAAAATCATCGTTAAATTTAGTAATTTAAATTTGCAATTATACTGAAAGACATGTATTCAACAATCAGACCTCTATTAATAGCTGAATATTCCCGCCTTATTGCAAATGCACACAGAAGTATACAAATCAGGAGGTTGACCATTCTAATCTAAAAAATCAGAGAATATGAGCTAAAGACCCAGCAACTAATCTAAAAAATGAATCTTCGATTATCATCAATAATGGCCATCTTATGATCCACATTCCACAGTCCATATGACGGCTATGAAACTTGGCTCAGGCCATCCTAAATACTAACACTATTGTTGAGATATATAGTCCCACATTGATTGTATGTGCAACTAATGTGGAATTTATAAGACTTTGGACACTCCCACCCTTTGAGCTAGCTTTTGGAATAGTGTATCCCAAGGTTCTTTACATGGTATCAGAGCTTGAGATTCGATCTTCACGCCCCCCACTTTAAAGTCGAATTAAAATAAAAGCACAAAAGATAAATAAAAAATTGAGCCTGTGCATAATCCACGCTTTAAGCCCAAAGGGCTCTTGCGTGAAGGGACGTGTTGAAATATATAATCCCACATTGGTTGTATGTGCAACTAATGTGAAGTTTATAAGACCTTGAACACTCCCACCCTTTAAGCTAGCTTTTGAAGTGGTGTATCCCAAAATTCTTTACAACTATAAAAAGAACCAACGAGAAGCGTGTCACAATTGTTTTTTTTTTTTTTTTTTGGAGGGTTTGTTATATGCAGCACAGAGATATCCTTATACGAATTACCGAATCTCCTCACCACAAACTCAATCCTAATACTAAATAGAAACAAATGAGAAACTTCAATCACCTAACCCATCAATGTCGTTGTCCCCTGATTCCAACACAAGTAAACTATTGAATAAAAGGGGAAAATGACCACTCAAGAGCTAGCAGGCTAACCCATCATAAACTTGTGACGCTATAGAGGGTCAAACAAGGGGCTCTAATCCGTCATACTAACAGTCTAACACACTAAGAAATCATCAGCAAAGATTCAACCCAATGGGGGGGGGGAAAGAAACAGAGACAGATAAAATAGAAGCTCAAATCAACTAAAGCAGAATAGGATTTCACGTAACAACCAAATAATCTTAATCAAGTTCAACGACAAGTGATCTTAAACTGAAAGTTTTGTAAGTTATCCCCAGAAAGATGTACAAGTGAATCAGTGCCTTCTCTAAAATACCAAATCTGCTCCTTTCTGCAATAAATTGGCAGAGGGATAAACTGCCATCAGACCAAAACTTAAAGAATAAAAAATAAAAGATCTCAATATAAGGATTATAACAGCACAGAAAAGACCATTCTACCTGCCTCATCCCATTCAAAGACACATCAAGCTTAGCTGCACAGCCCTTCCCACAAGTCCACGTAGAATTTCTGTTATGACAAAACAGCAAAATCAAAAAACAACCAGCCATCCCAACCACTACTTGCAATTATCTAAGTTAAAGACAAAAAACAACAAAATAAAACAACCTCTCATGCCTAAAAACCCCAAACAAGATGCACCAGTTAAAGGTTACATGCACAGCAACTGAAACGGTCTTCTAACCAACTGTCCAACTGTGCTCTGGTATGAAAATATCCCACACAAGACAAAATCTATACACTACGAAAAAGACAAAGAAAAAAACCCGAAATCACCACTTCACGTTGATAATTGCAAGAACACTGAAAATGAAAAAAAAAAAAAAAAAAAAAAAAGTGAACGATCCCTCCCTGACAGCAAAAGGAACTTCAATTAAAAACAAAAAACAAATCAGTAACTTTGCAATAAATCAACTGAAATGCATAAGAAAACAATAATCAGCTACATAAATAATTTGACTTGAGCAGATTAGATAAAGGAACTCCACTACTTCCCATTCCCATCAAGAGGCAAGCGCCAAGGTGCCAAAATCTGTATTCCAGAATTAACATCAGTTTTTAAGACAATAATAAATACTTTAGGAAGCCTCACAATACAATAAATATAATGTATTCAACATAAAATTCATGAAGATAGCATCGTGTAGTCTATCAATGGTATAAGAATCCATATGCCTCAGAATGAGGCAAAGATTACAACAACCTTCTTAAATGGCACAATGCAAGTAATATGCTCATCTCTTTCTACCACCACGCTCTCTTAAGGTTAGGGTAAGTGTTTCTCCTCCACCAACATTGTAATGGGCAAGTGACATATTATCCTTGAGAAAGCCTGGCTTTCCACTCAATTTCTGCTTGTTAGCAGGGAGCTGGATCTCCCCAGCAATTTTTTCCTTCAAACTGCCAACAGTTTCAGACAGAGATTGCACTATTATTTCTAGAACTTGTCCTTTGAGATTTCCTTCATCAACATTAGGAACAGATACACTGATGCGAACAGGTCCCTAGGAGTGAAGAAAAAAAAATGACAGTCAGGATGATCATAAATAGCACTGATGATAAATATGATGCTATATATACAAATTGTTTTTTAAAAAGAAGGATAATTGTTAACTTGTAACTCCATACCGGATGTTGAGCCAGAAATTGATCTTCAGGGATCAGAGCAGAATCATCAAGCTTCAGCCTCTTTGGTTCTGGTTCTTCTGGGAGTGGGGGTGGAGCTTCCTCTGGTGGTGGTGGTGGTGGCATTACAGGCAAAGGTGGTGGATGCATCATAGGCATCCCTGATGGTGGAGCAGAGAGAGGCATAAAAGGTCGTGGAACTTGAATAGGAGTGAACTGAGATCCAGGTGGTGGAGGTATGGGAATTCCTTGGCTGTTCATATGAATTGATGGAGGCATTGGGGGTGGTTGACCAGTCATACCTGACTGCTGTCCAGAAGTCATTGGCATGGGAGGAGGGGGGGCTGGCCGAACAGATGGAATCATGGGAATGCCCGGTGGTCTGGATGGAGGAATTGGCAGGCCACCACTGTTAGGAGCAGAATACTGGACTGCATTGAGAGGAATACGAGGAAGATTCAAAGCTAGTCCAGGTGGGGGTGGAAGGGGACGAACTGAAGGCATACCAGGTCTAGGAGGAGGTGCAGCAGGACCAGGATGGTTCCTGGCTTCATAATTAGAAGCATCATTTTGATCCTCACTTCCAATATTCTGTGACATGGCTTGGGTTGCAGTCCGGCCAATACTACCAGTGTGGCCATCCCATATAACCTGCTTAGGTTGCTCATCATTCTTCTCAATCTCTGCCTTGACAGCATTGGAAACCTCTTCCTCTGTGGTACCAAAGATATCAGGACGGGTCCGAGCAAGTCCAACAATGTTTCTTGATATTTCATCATCTTGAGCCAGAGTTGTCTCTCGAATTTTGGCAAACATCCTTTCTTTTTGTTCTTTGTACTTGGGATCAATGAGAGAAATTCGCATATGTTCTGACATTTCACTAATAGGAATTAGCTCACCAGTGATGGGAGAAACAACAAACTTGGTTGAATCTCTTTCAGCAGGAATCCTCTCCTCCGGTCTCTTCCAGTTCTTCACAATCCTCATCGGTGGTTCAGGGTCTTCAGTAACCCTGACTTCATTCTTCTTCTCATCATCATTATCTTCCAAACTAGCAGCTCTCATGCCCTCTTCAACAAGTTGGGCCTCTTCCTCATCCATTTCCATTTCTACCTCCTTTCCTGGCTCAACAATATCTTCTTCCATGGCCGACACCTTGCTTCTCCTTATAACCTCCTCAATGGTCATTGGAGGAGGTAACTCTTCATCCTCATCATCAGCAAAATCAATCATTTCAACCACCACAAAATCATGCCAATCAATCATAGCCATTTGTAACCTTTCCTGCTCTATTTCATCCTCAGCTTTTTGCCTAGCTTGCTCTTGTGAACGCTCCCATTCGAGCCTATTCACACACCTTTCAAGGACAGTAGTCATGTCAGAGACACTTTTCTTCAGCTTCTCTGTCAAACCCTTCGGAGGCATCAAAACCTTTGAATATGCATCCGCAAGGGAAGTAAAAAAAGTAAACATGCTGTGGGTTGGTTTCAAGAAATGGAATTGGGGGTTATTAACTTCCCTACTCGTCAATCCTGTCAAGAAAGATTTCCCATTTCGAGCAACAAACTGTGCTGTAAGCTTTATAATATCCAGCTCTTCCCCTGTAATTCCTTCCGGAAGTCGAACTGTATACTGCTCAACTTCAGGGGGTTCAAGAACTTTCCTCACAGGTTTAAACTGGGCAGACATATCAGGCTTTTCGGCTGCTGCTACACCATTACTATCAGGGGCCAGCGCACAGGGGGCTAATTCAGGAACAGCAGAGTCTGCAGACTGCAAAGGAGGTTGCACAGCAGAAGATTGATTCTGAGCACGAAATTCAGCCAATCGATGTTGATAGTAAGCATGATAGGGATCTGATGAGTTCAGGAAATTAAACTTGGCATTGCCTGTGTTGTTAGCAATAATCCTCTTTTCAAACTCTGGACCATTTTTAGCCACAAACTGGGCGGTTTTATCAACAATGGTTCTAATGTCTGGAGGGGGATGTATAATTCCAATAGTTCTAGTGTGGGTGGCAACTGTTGCCGGTGCCGGAACAAAAGCTGAATTTGATTTATTTAGCTCCTCATTTAAGGATTTCTCATCCCTCTCCTCCTCGGTCACTTGAGACTCTGGGAGAGGACCTAGATTTCCATCAGAAGGAGGAGCAGGGAGAGGCAATATAGGCAATGAACCTAACATGATGTAAATTCCTAAAACACTTCAAACATTTAGGTAATCATATAAAGTGAAATGAAAGAAAACACCAAAGCAACCTCTTGCTAACTAAATCAATCCCCTGCAATGAAAACAAAAAGAAAGTGAAAAAGTAGTCCAAATTAACTAAACTTATCAAGCTATTTGACAAGAAAGTATAAGTGGAAAAAACATCCAAGTACTATTTGACATAACAATAAAAATCATAAAGAAAACCATACTATTGATGATATATAGATTCTAATAAATTAATATATAGACTTCGTTTGTATTCAGATGCGAAATTGAAAGAGAAAGAAAAAAAGAGGTTAATTTCCGCTGTTCAAATCTAGTGTAAAAAAGAAAAACGAAAACAACAAAATCTTATGTACCAGATTCTACAGCACACAAAATCCAATCTGCAAACGAAGATCGGTGAGAATAATCTGGAACAGCAAAGATGAATTATGCGGAAGACCTTACTGTGAACAAGGGTTCTTCGATTACAGAGAGGTGGGCTTCTTATTATCGAGCATGAAAAAACGCAGCACTTCTTGGTGGGTCGATGATCATGGGCTGGGCTAGCTAAGGCCCAAAACTGCTAACCGCCTAACTTCCTATGGGAGATAATTTTCTATTTTTCTTCAACACTAATGTTGTAGTTGTACACTTAAAATAATTAATAATGTTCCGGATGGCCCAACAGCAGTGGCCCAAAGGTGCCAGCCCAATCGTAACTCCCCATCCACGTCAGTCCTACCAACTGGCAATCCTCCCAAACTTTCAAAGACACCAAAATGTTTCATCTTGGAACCCCAACCCCCAAAGACAGTCGCCCCAGATGCCATAAAAGGGAACTGCCCCTTTGACATAGGCTGACACCGTCAGGTGCATCGCTGCTATCATAGCACTGCCTCTCACACCCAACAACATCTGCTATCATGAGCAGATCCCAAGAAGGGTTGACCCCTTCTTCACCAACCCGTAGGAGGCTCATACGACCTCCTTATAAATAGCCCTTTTTGGCACACCAAAGGAGCATCTTATGTATCGTTATTATGCCCATTGCTATTAAGTCACATACTCTCACACCAATCTTCCATTGTTATTAGCTTGCTTTATACTTGGAACAGTACCTTCTACCCTAGTATTTACCTTAACTAGAGGTATCATCCATATAGTGACATCATCCCCCAAGGGAACATAGTGGGTTTATAAATTCCAACAGTACATTGGCGCCGTCTGTGGGAAACTATAAACTTCTATTCCCATTCTCCTACCAAAGATCCACCAGACGCATTTCACACTCTGATAACTAAACATGGTTGTCACGACAAGAAGAGCAGAACCAGCTAGGGTCGTCACCCCGGACGGTCACGTGCAAACAGTACGTTCCAACTCCCCGCCGTTCATGCATTCAGCCCTAGCTGAGCGAGCAGCTGGCGAGGCTCTCCCCCCGGTGCTACAATTTGGTGGCCCACAATTACCAGCAGCCGACGTTAGAATGGCACAGTTCAATCGCTGCATCGCCATACATGAAATGCAAGGAGAAAACTTAATCCCAAATCAACCCCCACCGCCGGGAGTTCATTTCGAAATGCCACTCCCCACGGCTGTTCCACAAGCCATCCCACTTGCCCATCGTCCACAACCGGCCCGAAGTCAGCCGGTGGCAATATACAATGATCATCGAGTTCCCATGGTCGCCTCATTCCCCCCTGGACCTTACACTTATAACGTTGCTGCCCCTTTCCCTCAACCTTTCCCAACAGGTCTTCCTTTCCACAGTTACCCAATACACCCCCATAATGCAATCATTCCGCAACCCGAAGGGTCAGTTGCAATCCCCGGCCAGCCGCAATTTGGCGCCCATCATGCCCCAGCTCTCTCATACTCTGTTGAGGCCCCCCAAATACCTCGCCCACCACCAGACTTGCAGGCTCGTAACCCAAACTTACGAGTAACACCCGCTAATACCTCAGGACGCAATAAACCCTTGACCGATAGCCTATGCTTAACACCCATACCCCTTGGTTTTAAAGGGCCGTCAAACATCACCACGTGTGTCGAAGACACCGATCCTTTTGAGTGGATCCAGAAATTTGAGGTAGCAATGACCCTCCACGCCGAGACAGATCTCCTTATGTGCAAGACCTTTCCTACACTCTTAGGCGGGAGAGCTTTGACATGGTACACTACTTTGCCAACAGGGATTATAGCTTCCTGGGATGATCTAGCGTGCAAATTCCAGACCCATTTCGCTACTAGCCTCCCGGTGCCCAAGTCTGTACATGCACTTGAAAATATTCGCCAGCAATCTGGGGAACCCCTCAGGTTTTTCTTGGACCGCTTCGACAAAGAGGCTCTTCAGGTGCAGGGTTTAGACCCTAAAGTGCAGGTGCACATACTTTTGTCAGGCCTGAGACAAGGGGCGTTTGCATACGAGCTCGCCCGCCACGAGATTACCGACCTAGAAAGTGTCAAGAAGAAAGCTCAATAGTTTATGAGAATTGAAGAGTATAAAGGGAGTAGAGCCGACGACTCTCAAAATCGATAGAAGAAAGCTAGCAAAAAAGAGGCAGTTGAAGAAGAGAGGAAAAGTCACAAATCCTCCAAGTATTCTAGTCGCCCTATCGGGCGTGATACCCAAAGACGCCAATCTCACAGCGTCCTACAAACTGAGTACAAAGAGCACAACAGTAACCCACAGTACCAACCACCAGCTAGAGAAGTCACCGTGTACTGCAAGTTCCACCGGAGCAATGGCCATAGCACGGAAGAGTGCATATCCCTCAATGATGAGATCGACGAGCTAATCAAGGGAAGAGCCCAAAGGCAGTTCAATAATTTGGGGCGCGATGCGGGTAATGGAAGGCGCCGCCGTGAACGTAGCAGGTCACCAGAAAGGAGAAGAACCAGCCAAACTGGCTACGGGCCTCGCCGTGAGCATAACCGAAGGGAGAACTCCCCAAGAGGCCGCAGGGCCCAAACAATAATGAGGGGTGTCAAGAACGTGAAGAAGACCCTGCAATTATCAAACACGGAATAATAAACATGATTGCAGGTGGACTAAGTGGTGGTGGCGAAACAGCTAACGCCAGAAAGAAACATTTGAAACAATGTTTGGCGGTGTGTGGTAAAGTCATCAGCAAAGCCAAAGCCAGTACCGATCATGCCAAGCCTAAAATCGTATGGGACAACAACGATTTGGGCGACGTCCTGCCTAGACATGATGACCTCTTGGTCATCCAAGCAATAATAGCTAACTTTGGCGTTAATCGCGTGTTTGTTGATCATGGCAGCTCTTCTGACATCTTATTTTTACCTTGTTTCAGGGCATTAGGATTTACTGTTAAAGATTTAACTCCTGTTGTTGGTGAACTGTCAGGATTCAATGCTACAGTCACCAAGCCCCTCGGCATGATAAGTCTACGCTTATCAATGGGAGTGCCTCCTACTTCGCGGTCCGCTGATATCCAATTTCTAGTTCTTGACTCCCCATCAGCATACAACGCTATCCTCGGAAGGAGGATGTTTGCCGCGTTTGAGGCAAGCATATCTCACCCGCATCTGGAAATGAAGTTCATGGCTAAGGACAATAAGGTCGCAACAGTAAGAGGGGACCAAATGGTAGCCAGGAGTTGTTATAATATATCTTTGAAACCGGCAACCAGGGTCACCTTCAAAGACCAACCAGCGCCCCAATCGATAACAACTCAGGTAATTGAAGAAAATCCTAGCAGGAATAGTAAGGATCTTGACCAATGTTTTCTTGTAGAGTTCGACGCTCGTGACGACCCCAGAGTGGAACATTCCAGGCCCACGCCTGATGGAGTGTTAGAGCATATCATTTTGGGCAATGCAGACAACTACCATCGGGGCGACCATTGCCCCAAAACTTAAAAGCAGGCTGATCGAACTGCTACGAGGTAATAGAGATCTCTTCGCTTGGAAACCATCTGATATGCCAGGCATAAATCCTGAAGTGTGTTGCCACCGATTGTCCGTGGACCCCAAAGCAAAGCCTGTCTCACAGAAGAAAAGAAAGTTCGGCCTGGATCGCCAGAAGGTGATTGATGAAGAAGTAAAGAGGCTCCATGATGCTGGCTTCATTAAGAAAGTTAAGTATACAACCTGGCTCTCCAACCCGGTGTTGGTTAAAAAGCCCAGCGGGGCGTGGAGGATGTGCGTCGATTACACCGACTTGAACAAAGTGATTGGCAACAGCGATGAAGTTTACATAGATGATATGATCGCCAAGTTGCAAACACCAGAACAACACCTGGTGCATCCTCAGGGCGTGTTCGATAGGTTGCGAAAGTACAACATGCGGTTCAACCCGAGTAAGTGTGCCTTTGGCGTACCGGATGGAAAGTTCCTAGGCTTCATGCTGACCGAGAGAGGCATAGAGGTCAACCCCGATAAGTGCAAAGCGGTCATTAAAATGCAAAGCCTACAAACAGTCAAGGAGGTTCAGCAGCTGACTGGGAGACTAGTGGCCTTAACCCGGTTCCTGGAAAATTCTGCACATAAATCACTCCCCTTGTTTGGTCTACTTAAAAAAGGTACGTCTTTTCAATGGTCCGATGAATGTGAAAGAGCTTTCCAGGAGTTCAAAAGAGCCATGTCTTGCCCGCCGGTCCTCACCAAACCAGACAGTGGCGAAACTATGTACTTATACCTCGCCGTAGGCGCTGAGGCCATCAGCGCGGCTTTGGTCAGAGAACCAAAAGGGGAAGGGCAAAAGCCTATTTACTTCATTAGCAAAGTGTTGCAAGGGGCTGAGTTGCGGTATCAGCAAGTTGAAAAGGTTGCTCTTACGCTCATCTTCGCGGCACGAAGGCTGAGGCCGTATTTCCAGTCCCACTTCATTACGGTCAGAACCAATCAACCAATCCGCCAAGTGTTACACAAGCCTGACCTCGCCGGAAGAATGATGTCTTGGGCAATTGAGCTGTCGGAATACCAGATCCATTATGAGCCAAGAACCGCCATTAAGGCTCAAGCCCTTACAGACTTCATAGCTGAAATGACACACAGTGCCTCGCCCAACGGCAAAGCCGCCGAAACGTCCCAACTGGAGATATGGAAGTTATATGTCGATGGTTCGTCAAACACCAAAGGCTCAGTGGCTGGAATGATAGTTGAAAACCCAGACGGGGTAGCTGTCGAGCATTCCTTGTCCTTCGACTTCAATACCACCAATAACCAGGAAGAATATGAGGCCATGATAGCTGGCCTAATTCAAGCAAATGAAATGGGAGCCCAACGCCTCAAAGTCTTCAGTGACTCACAGTTGGTGACATTTCAGATCTCAGGCGAGTATCAAGCCAAAGGACCATTGATTCCAAGTACTTAGAGAAGGTCAAAGAGCTGATACAAACCTTTGAAGGCGTCGAGGTTGAGCACATCAGGCGAGCTGAAAATACCCGGGCAGATATCCTCGCCAAATTAGCAAGCACTAAAAGCCCAGGTAACAATCGTTCT